ATCTGGGCTATTTCTCAGGGTTGTATTTGCATCCACATGAGAAACCTTGAGGGATGAGGTCTCCCCCTGGAAAAAGAGCAGACTTGCTTCCACTTAATAGTGGTAAATCTTAGTGTACCTCTTCTGTAATGCAACCCACTGTGATCACTTTGCATCACTTCTTTGGGACTTGAGGGAAAGGGAAACAAATGAGCTTGAAGCTCTGATTACTGCTTTTGCAGTGAGTAATAAAGCCCTTTTTGAGTCTCGTGTCTTGCCAGCATCCATGAAACTGGCAGGCTGACTTTTTAAGCTAAGTTGGGTAAAATGTTAAAACAGCCCATTTCCTGACACCCCCTGCCCAGTTATTTTGAAAAAAACATTTCAGCGTATCTCTCTAAAGTGACTTTTAAAAATAGTATACATGCTGCTGAGGTGGGCACTCATGATTTCTTGCCCAGCCAGTGTTGGTCAATGGTTGAGTGTTGACTTATGAACCAGGAGGTCATGGTTGGTTGCCAGTCAGTACACATGCCTGGGTTGCTGGCTCGATTCCTAGTGGGGGGTGTACAGAAAGCAGCTGATCAATGATTCTCATCTCTGATGTTTCTACTTCTCCCTCTCTGAAATCAATATTTTTAAAAAAATGTTTTCTTAAAGAGGAAACAACCAGTCATTAACTCTAAATTTATATAATTCCTAATATAATTCCAGTCACACCAATTTAATGGGTAATTCTTTACTGGATATAATGTGGTAAGCAATGTAAGTGTGAAAGCTATGAAGGGTAGCTTCCTTTTACTAAGACCATGAAGTCAAAAGTCAGAATTACTGCAGGTGTCATTAGCTCTTAGAAGTTTATTTGCAGTACTGTAATTGTGTTGTATGAAAATATAACCACAATGGTGGCAACTGACAATACAAATAGACTGACAAAATGTTGGTAAGGATATGGAGTAACTGGAACTGAAACATTAATAGCGAGGTATAAAATGGTATAGCCACTTTGAACAATGGGCAGCTTTTTTTTAAAAAGTATATATTTTTTATTGATTTTAGAGAGAAAGGGAGAGAGATAGAAACATCAATGATGGCCCTAGCTAGTTGCTTAGTAGTTAGAGTGTCAGCCCTCTGACTGGGGTTGTGGGTTCAATTGCGGTCAAGGGCACATACCTGAGTTGCAGTCTCAATCTGTCTGGCCCCAGTTGGAGCGTCTGCAGGAGACAACCAATCGATGTGTGTCTCACATTGATGTTTCTCTCCATCTCCCTTCCCCCACTCCCACTTTCTCTAAAATCAATGGAAAATATCCTCAGGTGAGGATTAACCGAAAAAAAAAAAAAAAAGGAAAGAAACATCAATGATGAGAGAGAATCACTGATCAGCTCTCTCCTGCACATCCCCCCATTGGTGATCTAGCCCGAAACGTGGCCATGTGCCCTGACTGGGAATCAAACCATGACCTGTTGGTTCACAGGTTGACTCTCAAACACAGCCATGCCAGCGGGGCATGTTTGATTTTCCAGGTAATGTAAATATAAACTGTCTACATAGAGCTGAGAAGCTGAGCAGGAATGTTCTTCGATGAAATTCAAGGCTTTAGTTCATTGTAACTTGTTCTAGTCCTATTATATCTAAGAAGTCAAAGTTGTATAGGCCAATGTGAAGGAGCTGTCTCCACCTCCCATAGTTCTTTTTCCCGTGTCTTGTCTGCCCTATATGTTCCTTTTCCTATACCTCCCTAGGCAGCCTGGGGAAAGTGGTTGGCTCAGGGTCTGACAGAAGAATGACAAATAAATACTGTATTAATAAGAAAAAAAAAGTTGTATAGGCCAATAAAACAGATCAATTATACTTGTTTAACTGCTAAAGAGAAATGTACCACTTCAGCACAACAAATGGATAAAGTACTGAATTGGTAAATCAGTGGAGTTAGGTTTTGCTTTAGGTTCTGCCATACCTGTATGGCCTTAGGCAAATTATTTAACCTCTACAGGTCCAGCTCTGGTCTGCAGGCTCTCCTCTGTGGTGTAACAGGTTGAACTTGCCATTAGGTGAGAGGCCCCTAGATGGTGCTGTTGTTCTGAGATAGGCTTTGTATTTTTTCCCCCCCTCTATAATTACAGTGAAGTAAAAAGGCATAGGTTAGAAAATGATTTCCTATTCTGGAAAAATTCAGTGTTAAAAGTTCATTCAATGGCATTCAAAATGACAATGAATTATAAGTCATATGCATGGCCCATATGCATCTGACATTAATTAAAAGGAATAAATCATTAATGACTATACCAAATATCTCCATATACTATGCCCATATAGCCATCAGTATTTCTTTAGGTATATTTACCTAAGCCTAAGATACTAAATAAAAATGAAGTAATTATTGTTAAGAATATTGATGTATAAAAACCCTATATAAAAGTATTTTTAAAAATACTAGTTCTAGCCGAAACCGGTTTGGCTCAGTGGATAGAGCGTCGGCCTGCGGACTGAGGGGTCCCGGGTTCGATTCCGGTCAAGGGCATGTACCTGGGTTGCGGGCACATCCCCAGTGGGAGATGTGCAGGAGGCGGCTGATCGATGTTTCTCTCTCGTCGATGTTTCTGGCTCTCTCTCTCTCTCCCTTCCTCTCTGTAAAAAATAAAATAAAAAAAAATCAATAAAATATAAAAAAAATACTAGTTCTAATAATAAGTTTTGATGAATGCACTGATATTTGGAATGTTTCAGATTGTATTCAAAACCTGTAATTTCCATGAACACAATGAAAGATTATATTACCCCTCCAGCTATGTAAGCAAGGGCATCTTTTAATGAAATCTGTCTTTTGGTGTTTAAACAGGTAATCAAAGGATAAGAATAATATGTTAAATGTTCTCTAGTTTTAATAAAAATTTTTTAAAAAGGAGTAGGCTTAGATGAACAATATCAAGTTTTCACTTAAAATTCCCAAAAGGAAAAATAATACATTCCTATTTTTCCTTATGACATTCACAAACTATAAAATTATGCTCAATCAATATACAGAACAAGAAAGTATCTATGAAGACCTGTACCAAGCTACATTTTGTCTTGTCACTTGAGTGAATAATAAATGACAAGCAAAAACTGTCATGACAAAGTGAAATGACATAAAAACTGCAAATTTTTGTTTCAATAAAGATTTTTGTCAACAAATTAAGGAGGAAAGATATTACATCTCAGTGTATCCAAGATGGTATTGCTATATAAGTTACCCATCCATCTCAACAATCAACCTTTATTGATATTATATTGAGCAAAGGGCTGGAGTCATAAAGAGAAGATACCATTTCTATTCTCAAAAAAAAAATCTAGTCTGAGAAAAGGACTTTGAAAAGTTCAGTTTATTATAATGTCAAGTAGATTTACAACTATTGCACTTATTCTGCTGACTGCCAAAATTTAAGAGGATATTTTTCTCCAATAAAGCTAAGTTTCCATGATTTTTAATGTAAGATGTTAAAATTACACAGGCAAATATGTGTACCTCATGTCCTTTTCCAGACACACACCCTACTTATTATACAGCTTGCTGCAAACGGGAATTTAATTGGGATAATGCTTTAAGTCCCATTTCTCTTGAAATTACTTGAGTAAAATTTGACACGAGTTTTCTTTATATTGTCTTCTTTACCCAAAACATGTAGAAGAAACAGCCCCCATATCAATTATAACCACATAACTGGCAGATGACCTTTAATCAAAGACGAAGTAAATAACTCTTCCCTTAGAGAACACCATCTCGTGTTTGACCATTAGCTGCCTAACTTTTGGACAATGGGAAACAATAATAAAAGCTAAAAAGTGGCCCTGTATATGAAATTCTTCTTAAAAATCGAAGAGAGTCATGAACATTGTTGGGAAAGTGTTTCACATTTCCAATGAAATTCTATTCCATTGATCTGTTTGGAAGATTGTCTTGAACCTGTTTGGCTTTAGCCCATAAACCAGTGATGGCGAACCTTTTGAGCTCGGCATGTCAGCATTTTGAAAAACCCTAACTTAACTCTGGTGCTGTGTCACATATAGAAATTTTTTGATATTTGCAACCATAGTAAAACAAAGACGTATATTTTTGATATTTATTTTATATATTTAAATGCCATTTAACAAAGAAAAATCAACCAAAAAAATGAGTTCGCGTGTCACCTCTGACACGCGTGTCATAGGTTCGCCATCACTGCCATAAACTGTAATTGATTCAGTGGCATGAAGAACCGCTTTTATCTTAAGCCTGGCATAAGTAACAGCGGATATAGCAGGAAAGTGTGTGTTTTTTTTTAATTTTAATTTTTTTTTTACTCTATAATTGTGAACGGATGAGCTGGGAAAAAAACAACAAAAAGTATCAGCCTTCAGTCTTCTTAAATTATTTTTCATTTGATTATATTGGGAAGAAATGAGCTGTGGGGCTTGGCATTGTTTTCCATCTTAACAGTTACTCTGTATTTGAGATAATGTGATTCATAATGTATCACTATAACAAGACACAGCTTTTATATATTACTGGGGTAACACAAAGAAAATGAATTTTTCTTTGGGTACCAGTAATTGTCAAAAGAATGATTGCAGATTCAGAAAATGTGCTTTATAACAACCCTGTATAAAGTTATAAATGGAGGAAAGAAGTAAGTACAGCAAGTATGTGGAAGGGTTAGTCATATTAGCAAGGCATCTCAGGATGGTTTTGGTTCTTTTGACTAAGATGCTTCAAATTTTAACCCCCTTCAAATTCTTGGACAAAGGGGAAATACTTATTAACACCAGAAGCATTTGGTGAGCATGAGCTGATTCTCCACGTTCTTACACAGGCTCCAACTAGTTAATAAACTACCCCCTCCTGAAGCAAGGATTTGCCCTGATAATAAGGGAAATGTGCTCAAGCTGTTAGAACTAATTTGAATATCACAAATAAAATTTAGATTACCAACCATGTCTTGATGGTTATAGCATATAGAATATTGAATGTCTTCTTTTTAAACTAAAAGAAAAAAAAATGGAGAAGCACGTTTAATTGACTTTTGCTGATGAAAATAGATGTTAAAGCACAGCTTTTGCGTGTAGGCCTCCTTGTGCTGCCATGTCACCAGGCACTTTCCCTGGGGGAAGTGTTTAATTGTCTTGCTCATCCTGCTGATGTTTTCCTTGGTAGAATACTTGCTCATGGGTTTTCACGTGTACGTTTCTACTGTGATGAAATCCAGACATTTTCTGCTTTCAGAAAATTCTAGTGTACCATTACAGCATAGAAATTTCTTTCAGTTTAAAAAATAGTGCAAAAAAACCATATCTGATAGTCAAAGTGATAGTTCTTGTGCCAAGGGACACAGTCAAGCTTCACCTTTAGCCGACTTGTAAAACCTGAACATAGTTTTTGGGAAATATTCCAGATTTTCCCATTAGTTCTCCACTCATCCAGTCATCGTCTACAGATTCCAGCTCTGTTATTGTATCTCCAGCCTGTAAGAAGACAGGAATTGGAAATAATTTTTAGTTTCTGTTGAGTACAAGCATGCTAGGCAGTATCTGGAGAGGCTTTATTCTCTGACTTGCCGACAGGATTAGATGATATACCACAAAGATAATCTATACCTAATGGATGCCATTCCTTTGCCATTGTCACCCTTTTATTTTCCTGCTGTATTTTGTGCCCCCTAAATTCACTACTAATTTAAATTCTTCTTTAATAAATAACAATACCAGCTATCATATATATGTATTTGTGTGTATGTGTGTGTGTGTATATATACATATATATATAATTTACTAACATTTATTGAGCACCCACTATGTTTCAGACACTGTTATTCTGGGCATTATGGATACATCAATGAATAAAGAAGCCATTCTAGAGTGGGGAGACAAATAAGCTGGCAGAGAAAGAAAGTGTGGGGTTGGTTGCTATCTCATTAGAGCAGTCAGGGAAGGCTCCACTGAAGGTGACATTTAAGCCAAGACTTGGAGATGAGTGAGCCATGTGCTTACTGTATGTCTTGTCCTATTTTATGTACTTTATAGGAATTAATTCATATACACAACAGAGCAGTCCTAGAGAGATATTTGTATAGATTTCCTTATTTTAAAGAAAAGGAAATTTAAGCTCAGAGAGATTAAATAATTTGCTCAGTGTCCCATATCCAGTTAGTTAGTGGTAGAGACATGACTCAAATCTAGTGTGATTTTAGGGCCCTTATTGCTAACCATCAAGGCAACATGGCCACCACATTTTACAGCGGACCTCTTCACTTAGAAAGGCTTTTACTGTAATTGTCTTTTTTTCCACATCCTGAGCATTTTGTACTGTACATTTACTCTTCCACATAATGGTATTCTCCGCCATTTGGTTTATTCCATCCTCCCTGGCCTCAATAGCAAATTTGCATTCTTTCCTGTCTTAAAGAGCTTCACTGACCCAGAACACTGATTTATTCTCATCAGGACAGTCAAAGGGACTGTGTATCTTATTCATGTGTAAATTATAATTCCTCAGCAGATGACATCATTTTTGAAATTATCTCCTGGAACTATTTTGTTCTTTATTGTTTCTAACCATTTCTTAGAATCTGGGTTTAAGATTCTATAATGGTCCAAAATGATCCTGGCTACTTGAAAGATTATCAGGCTAAATGGATTTATTTGTAGCCCTAGTACATAGCCCTCTAGAAAAATGGCTTGATTTAAGGCCTTTCTTAATGGAAAATGGAAAGGAAAAATTCTGACTATCAAATGTCATTAATTTACTCTGCTAAAATCTGTAAAACTTCCAGCTACTCAAAGTTTCTATTATAAAAAGTTCCTTCCGGTTCCTAAATTATAACATAATGGCTGATTAAAACTATTTTTCTTAGCTCTGTTCCATATATACATAGTATGTCAATTTTCTGCGGGCTAGCACACTTTTAAAAAAGATTTATCTACAAATATTTTGTGGATATTTATTAAAATATTAATGATCAATACTGAAGGCAGTGCTGAATCCCTTAACTCAAACCTCTAGAACTATCTTGCTTAGAGTCAGTCATTTGTAAAACAATGACCACCTATTTTCTTTCTTTTTTTGTTGTTGTTAATCCTCATCCAATGATATTTTTCTATTAATTTTTAGAGAGAGTGGAAGGGAGGGAAGGAAGGGAAGAAAGAGAGAGAGAGAAACATTGATGTGAAAGAGACACATGGATTGGGTGCCTCCCACAGGTGCCCTGACCAGGATTGGGGAAGACCTTGCAACCCAGGTATGTGCCCTTGACTAGAATCAAACCCATGACCCTTTGGTATGTGGGCTGACACTCTAACCACTGGGCAATTCTGGCCAGAGTGACCACCTATTTGCTGAAAGATACTGTGAATTGTTATTGATATGCCATAACTTAAATGAATGCCAAAATAATATCCAAAAATTTTGAATCTAGATTGTTCACTTGAAGTAACATTCTATGTACAGATAAAAGAAATGAATTTTGAGCTACTGGGGCAACAACTTAGCTTCCAAACATTTGGATTTTAAGAACCAAGAACCTTTAGGAATAAATAAATAAATAAATAAATAAATAGATATAGGGTTACCAAATTATAATTTTGCATAAGAAATATCTATCATTTTACTAACAGTATTTTATCATAGAAATGATATTTTAATATGAAAAAGATAAAAGAAATTCTCAGAAGGAACACCTCATTACAAAATAGGAAAGTTAACATCCTTATAACTGATGTATCTCAGCATACCCCTTTTACTCTGACTCCCCAAAAGTCTGCACATACCCAATATCACCTAGTTTTCCTCATTTTGTTATAGACAGGTGAAAATCTTGTTTGGGCACCCATTGTTTTAAAACTCATCTTGTCCAATCACTCCTTGATGCTTTCATTCTTTTTGTGGCATCTTAGCTCTCTGAATACCTCCAATGATGGAGAATTTGCTGCTGTCTGACACAGGCTCTTCTGAGAGCAATGACTACTAACCTTACCCTTCTTCCTCTGCACAGTCCCAAAGTGGCTTTCCTCTGACTATGGTCCAACTATGGACTGGGGAAACAGGATCATGAAAATATTTTGTTTTTACTTAAAAAAAAAAAAAAGAGACACTTCTTTGATGAAGTAAGATTAAATTGTAATTTTCTAAAAAAAACCCAAAACAACCCTTGGCAAAGTAGCTTAACTTTTTGGGATCATTTCCTGGCGAGTGTCTTTCTGGACAAGACTCACTCAGTGTCTTATGAGGCCCTGGTGCAGTGGCCAATTGCAGCAGGTACCTGACTTCTCCATTGATTTGACAGACATGACAATAGCAGGCAACAATGGCCATGTAGAGAATCATCCTTTACTAGGGCTACCAATAAAAACTCCAATATTACTAACATCGAATGTTACAAGGTCTACAAATAAGGAATTCGTTTGGGGATTGTGGGGCTATCAAGCCAATTCAGTTTTATTAGAGTACCTAAATGCCTTGCTGATATTTGCCTAATCTTGTTCTTTAGATTTAGGGCATCAGATATGTTCATTGTTGGCAAATGGTCAATATACCACCCAGATGTTCCACCCTTCAATGGAGGATATTTCAAAATTTATAATTGCTTAATACAGGAACTAAAAATGTACATTCTGACCTTGAAGGAAAGCTCATCTTCATTGTCCCCATGGAAATCATACAAGGCTTTGGCCTTCCTCCCCTTCAGTGCTAAAGGAGACATACTTTTTATGTCAGCTGTGGAAACACAAAAATACAGAACATACTAAAACACAAACCCAACATTTTAAGAAACCTCCTTGTTATCCCCAGGACAAAATATTTTCAATTTATTCAAAAATAATTTTGAATTTATTTAACTTGCAAAAAGATGAAGGATGTTCTCTTAGCAGGAAAAAATTATCTTACCTAATAATAGACAAACAGGTAAATTGACTGTCCCTCCACTACACTCATCAGCCAATCAGGAGAGTATGCAAATTAACCCAACAAAGATGACAGTTAATTTGCGTACGTAGGGGCGAAGCGGCAGAGCGAAGACTGAAGGCTCCGGCCGGAGCGAAGGCCTGTGTCCCGGATGCTGGAGGAAAACCGGTGCCAGCAGCCAGGGGAAGGGAAGACCTATTGCACCAATCTCTTTGTGCAATGGGCCTCTAGTCTATCTATATAAAAGCCTAAGCTACCATTGCAACCAAACAGATGATTGAACAGGCTGTGTGGGGCGACCAGGCCAGTAGGGGGGTTAGTGAGAAGCGACCAAACAACCGAGTAGCAGGCTGCGTGGGGCAAACAGGCCGGCAGGGGGGTTAGTGAGGGGCGACCAAACGACTGAGTAGCAGGCTGCATGGGGCAACCAGGCCGGCAGGGGGGGCAGTTAGGGG